CACAATCGACTTGCTCTTTTATACTATCCTATGCTTATACTGAACCTTTACTCCTTATACAGCTATATGCCCCTAACACAAATATATATATTATCCCACATTGGGCGCCTGGCAGTAGCTTTACATCAGTGTCTTAATGTGGAATTTCTGCCACATTTATTTTTTGTATTTATGTATAAATGACTTAATTTATCTTCCTCAATATGGGCATTTGAGTATAGTGGAACTTTTCCTCCATGCATGATTTTAACTCTCACGATCACGATCCATCTTGCACGGGTGGACACACTCAGTGGTGTTCAACACAGGAAGGGTTGGATTAACGGGGTTACATGGTGATTGGGTAAGTTTAACATACTTTGAATATTGTATGATATATATTTCACTTGTTTTATTATGTGTGGCATCTTGATAAAGACCGCTTGACGGTCAAAACGTTGATTTACTTTTTTGCTCATGATTTAATATAAGATTTGTTTCAAATCCAGTGAGTACTCTCATTTTTTCTGGTTACATATCTGAGCACTGAGAACACACCCTGGTCAATTTTCTGAATTTGTTTGAAGTCATATGGGAAGAGTGCCAGAACTTTGGATTGTATATATATATATATATATATATATAGTAGCTTGTAATTGTGGAAGCTATTTTTACCCAGTGAACCCCTATACCTGAGCCTTTGCTGATCAATTTATGGAACGATTATTCTTGCCTGCTTCTCACTACTGTCTCTCCACTATTCATCCTGTCCATGTTGCCAGCAATGGAATTTCCCAGCGCCCTTCATGCCCTTGCCATCACCGTCCCTCGCCCCTTTCTATTCCTCCAGGAAAGTGGGGATGGTCCCTGAGCGGCACACCCAAATTATCCGATACCGCCTAGCGTCAATCCAGGGGCTGAAGAAAGAGGGATGTGGCACAGAAAGGAGTATCCTCACCCTAAACGGGATGCTCACCCAAGAACGATGGCTGGAGAAGGCACAGGGCTCTCAGTGCAACAATAGAGATGGATGGCAAGCTAGAGTACGGGAATCTCGCTCCCTCCCAGGTCAGAACTATGATCGCGGTTGTGGAAGACGGGCACTCCAACTTCACCCCCAGATGTTTTGTATAGTACAACGCCAAATCTCATCCTCAACATGAAGACCAGTATTCCAGTTCTATATTATACTAGAATAACAATGTGGTGTTTTCTCATTATAGGTTCTCATTTCAGGTACTTTTTCTTACATGTCTTTTATTTGTAGTATCTCACAGACTTTCGAACGAGGAGAGGAATTATAGGGAAGATTTATTAATTTTTATCTAGGCTCACTTTTGAAGCCAAGGAAAGCCTAAATATCTTATGTTTTGTGCAATCATCAGATAGATCATCCTCAATATCATAAGATGCCTGGGAGTAATTCACTACCAGGACAATTTGATAGTACTTATTTGTAACGGAAGAACATGTTCATTCCCCATGTTGACAAACCACTCCCCAGTCACCATGTGGTCCCCCAAAGCTGTTAACATACAGTCATTTATTGAAACCTTAGCTCTCTTTGAGACTACCCAAAGTAGCAGTTGAAAACACTTGGGGAAACATATGGCAAGAGCAAGTAGTCAATGCCGCTCAGACATGGCAGCGTGCAATATCATTAACAACAATCCTCATTTAATAATGAAGAGTATTGTTAGGAGATTCACCTGGCTGGCACCTGACCATCAATTTATCTGGTTTGTGATCATCTTGTTGTCATGACTCAGTGACAAACTCCACCTGACTGTCAGGTAAACTGTCCCTAAACCCCTAGTCAACCCCCTCCCCCCCAAAAAATAACCCCTATCTACCCCCTCACCCTAAAAATAATGAGGGGGGACCATTTAACTAAGTACCTGTAAAAAAATAAAATAAAATAAAACTTACCATTTGATGTTTTCTTTCTTCAAAAATCTTATTTTTTCAGCCCCAAAAAAGACCAAATAAGAAGCCATAATAACCGACGTACTTAAAATAAATAAATAAATAAATAATTATCCATCTTCACCCATGGAGGGCTCCGCGCAGACTTAATCCACCAATCAGAGTGCTGTGACAGATAAATGTAGAGAGTTACCTGTCAGTATCTTCATTTACCTGTCAGAGCACTACTGATTGGATGGCTTAAACCCACCAACCAGAGTGCTCTGAGCCTAATTGCAGGACAGGGCAGGGCTTTATAAGCCTTTCCCCGTCCTGCAGAGTTCAGTCTGTGCGGAGCCCTCCATGGGTGAAGATGGATAAATTTTTTTGGCGCTTGTTTTTTTTTGTTTTTTTGAAAGTGCGTTGGTTATTATGGCTTTTTATTTGGCCTTTTTTGGGGCTGAAAAAAGAAGATTTTAGAAGAAAGAAAACATCAAATGGTAAGTTTTATTTTATTTTGTTCATAGGTACTTAGTTAATTGATCCCCCCTCATTATTTTTAGGGTGAGGGGGGTAGGTAGGGGTTGATTTTTTGGGGGAGAGGGGTGACTAGGGGTTTGGGGACCCCTAGGCACCTGGGGGAAGGGGGGTTAATTTTTTATTTAGGGCCCCCATCCGCCGCTCAGGGGTGGGGGTCAGGGGGGAGGAGATTAGGTCCCCCCCTAATTAGTATTTAGGGCCCCCACCCACCGCTCAGGGGTGGGGGCCATTCTGGGCCCCCACCCTCCGCTCAAGGGTGGGGGCCAGGGTGGAGGACATTAGGTCCCCCCCTCATTCTAATTTAGGGTCCCCACCCACCGCTCAGGTGTGGGGGCCAGGGGGGAGGACATTAGGTCCCCCCCTAATTAGTATTTAGGGCCCCCACTCACCGCTCAGGGGTGGGGGCCAGGGAGGAGGACATTAGGTACCCCGCTCATTCTAAAATATAAATACAGCGAGAAAGATTGGTGGATTGGCGCTTCACATCATCAATATAGCAACAACCCCCAGTGCCCAAAATCACTCAAATGGCACTTAAGTACAAAGTGAAAGAATATAGGGGGGTGCAAATAGCATGTACAATACTTTACTGTATATTTACTGTAGTGAGTAAATCACCTCCTGATTATCAAATTCCAAGTTTATAGGTGCCTCCCCACAATGTGGATGGGGGGTTTGAACTCCCTCCTCAAGTGATAGCCGATTGGGTACCTGGGCCAGCGAGATGGTCCAAAAACTCCAGCCAAAAGGATACTCCAAAAAGCAATTAATTCACACATAAAATAAGGAGGTATGCGAAAGCATAAAAACAAGTATATAAAACGTCCACAGGTCCTACGCATCTCATCCTTATTCAAATGATCTCTTACCTTTTGGTTTGCTATATGTTTACTGATCGTTTTATAGAAAGTGGTCCCTGAGGAAGTCCTTTGAATAAGGACAAAATGCGTAGGACCTGTGGACGTTTTATATACTTGTTTTTATGCTTTCGCATACCTCCTTAATTTATGTGTGAATAAATTGCTTTTTGGAGTATCCTTTTGGCTGGAGTTTTTGGACCATCTCGCTGGCCCAGGTACCCAATCGGCTATCACTTGAGGAGGGAGTTCAAACCCCCCATCCACATTGTGGGGAGGCACCTATAAATAGAGATGTCGCGAACTGTCCGCCGAACTGTTCGCGAACTGTCCGCCGGCGAACAATAGCGTGTTCGCGTTGGGCGAACATATCCGATTTACTCGATGATGACGTATAGGGGGCAGACCGGAAATCGGATATGTTCGCCCTACGCGAACACGCTATTGTTCGCCGGCGGACAGTTCGTGAACAGTTCGGCGGACAGTTCGCGACATCTCTACCTATAAAACGCTCTAACAACTTGGAATTTGATAATCAGGAGGTGATTTACTCACTACAGTAAATATACAGTAAAGTATTGTATATGTTATTTGCACACCCCCCTCATTCTAATTTAGGGCCCCCACCCACCGCTCAGGGGTGGGGGCCAGGGAGGAGGACATTAGGTACCCCGCTCATTCTAAAATATAAATACAGCGAGAAAGATTGGTGGACTGGCGCTTCACATCATCAATATAGCAACAACCCCCAGTGCCCAAAATTACTCAAATGGCACTCAAGTACAAAGTGAAAGAGAAAGAATATAGGGGGGTGCAAATAGCATATACAATCCCCCCTCATTCTAATTTAGGGCCCCCACCCACCGCTCAGGGGTGGGGGCCGGGGGGGTGAAATAGGTCCCCCTTTAGTTTAAAAGCCCCCACTCGCGCGTCGGGGGGAGCCACAGGCTGCTCACTGTTTACTAGACATGCCCCTACTCACGGTATAGCGAGTAGGGGCATAATTTACTAACCCTAAGTAATCTTTACTTAGTATTAGTAAATTTGGCTGAAAGACCAGTTTAGGTCTTTCAGCCTTTTGGTAGATAACTCCCTAATACCGTACGAAATAGTGAGTTATCTACCAAGCAGCTGCAAGAGAAGTTCCGAAATTCCGAAGTTCTGAAGTGTTGAAGTTACCGAAGTGGCGAATTGCCGAAGTCCCGAATTTCGGAATGCCGAACCGAACCGAAAATTTTTCCCATGCACGCCTAATACAAACGCAACCCAAGAAGAGTTAAGGAAGCATTAAGAGTTGGCTTGTAAGTTGTGTACGTAATAGTGTGCAATTTGGTATCTTTTTGCCCTCTTTATTTACAGGCCTACCCATAGATTGGTTTCAGCACAACCGACTTTGCATTATTACGGCTTTTTTCCATGACCACAAATATAAAGAATATACACTGTAGCCTGTCATTGTAACCCAGGGGTAACCCAGCTATTTTAACTCTGCCAACCCCCTTACCTGGGCCATTGTTAATCGATTCATCCCACACACCACTTCCCTCTTTCTCATATTACTACCTTGTTTTACAAGCTCATCCGTATGTCGGTTCCAGCACACCACAACTGACTTTGCATTATTATGGCTTTTATCTGCGACCACAAATATAATATACATACATGACATATTTATATATTGGTGTTAAATTTAAAAAAAACAAAAAACATACAAATAGACACATTTCAAATCTATTTTTTAATAATGAATACAATTACGTTATGCAAATGCTATATAATTGTCTATTGAACATCAAGAGAACATACAATATATACTAGAAAGGATATCACACGTGATCAAGAATAACGTAATACAGTGATGAAAATACAAACCGTGACAATAATTCTGAGAAATATACATTTTAAGTTTTGTATATTAAAACAAAATAAGGTTTTACATATATGTATATTTTAATATTTTCTTAGTATCAGGGAATCCCCCATTGACATGCGATTATTCATGATATCTAAAGCCTAGATTAAATTTTTGCATCTAAATAATGACTGCTTAAATCAAAATATCACAATATTTAATTGGGTTTTTTTATTCTCCTCGCTACTCGATTTAATCTAGGCTCACATTGGAAAATTACTTTTTAATTACATTTTCTTATGAGTCACAGACACAGTGGATTTTCTGGAAATTAGCCAATACTTTCCATGTTATCCACTAAACTGTACATTTTTATCAGACATTTACTAGGGAACTTTGTAAGGCCAAAATAGACACAGTGGATATATTCTCCAAGGCATTTATGTTTCCAGTTATTTTCACACAAAATTCACAAACTTCTCAAAAATGTCCATTTAATTAATCTGTGTAGCTTTGTTCATTACTTGACTGGGAACCAGGATTATCCATATCTTGCAACTAAAAATAAGCTAATAATATAATTATATTTTAAAACACTTGAACCTATAATCTATTAAAATATAACAAATTTTAATGGTGGTGTCTCATTTGTATGAGACAATCTTAGACATACTTATTGAATGACTTGATTATTATTTGAATTGACAATACTGGGTATATACATAGTGGTATAAGGATTATTTTCATACACAAAATCTATTTGATACATCCACAATTATACATATGGTGTAAAACAATGAAACATGCAATATCTTCTAATACCTCTTTTATTGAATAGCCTGTAGGAAAAGTAAGCTTTTATGGTTACTCAGATATTGTAAGGTACTACGGTTTTCATATATTTAGCATTTACATCACTTGGCTAACTCAGATAGTTCAAAGTATTCAAATATATACATATTTATAAAATGTATACATATATGCACACATCCATGCAACGCAAGTTATATATTTTTAACACTGCATAATAAATCTAGTTTGAAAAATAAGGATTTAGTTACACAATATAATGCTATCATGCATTTAACAGACCACCAGTGTGCAAATTGAATCCATTTTTTTGTTGTTAAATTGCCATGGCAATACAGATATGGGAGATAGCTCTCACTGCTCCTCTTGCCTCCCCTTGCATTCCTGAGTGCTATTCTGACTTAGGGCAAAGAGAAGATGTGATATGACATCAAATTGTCCAGGTGTTTTGACTTAATAACATAGCAAAGAAATGCAAGGGAGTATGAAAGTTGTCTCTAATGTTGGAGCATGTAATGACAGCCCATTCCACACTAGACACCAGTTCCCACAAATTAGAAGTTGTTTTCTAATTTGGCTATTTTGGCCAAAAACTTAAAATGTGAATAGTTGGACAGCTATGTAAGTGCATAAATGACTAATTAGGTGTTAGAGTGGCTAGTTATATATAAACATTTCTTTCTGTAAGTGGCTAGTTATGTTTGTGTGTGAATAGCAAGTTGTGGGAGTGGTTATTTTTGCATGTGTGTGCAGTCAATCCGATATATGTTTGTGAGAATGACTGAATAAGCATTATTGTAAGTTTGGATAATTAGTTGTATTTGAGCCTACCTAAGTATCTGTGTGAAAATATTAGCTATGTGTGTATTTCTTATTAATTACTTTTTATAGGCTTGTAATTTGGCATTGCCTACTAAATTATAGAAACCTGTCAAACTGTGAACAAGTTATATTGGAAACAATGTGCTTGGCTAAACATGATATAGCCATGCTTTTTGATAATTTTTTTATTTTATTTTTTTTAAATCTGAAATATCGTCTTTTATGCAGGATTTGTTAACGTCATATCTTGAGTTATATGGGATCCTCCATGTGCGAATTTCAGTCATTTTAATAGCACACTAATTAATGTGTTTGTTCAGGTGCTAACACACACTGGGTATTTTGAAGATACATTTTTGGCGTGAGCTAACTTAGGTATTTTATCAACTGCAGGATAAATTATAAAATAAATCTTACAGTTTTACTGTGTCCAAGTTATGCCCATTGGATTTGTGTGGATTATTATCTTGAAGGCATGCCCCTCCAATTCTTTGCTCAAAGTATACTTACTACTTGTCTGGTAAACAAGATGTCCCTTCCCCCCAAAGTACCTCATACACAATGATTTTGTTTTGCTCAAGGTGTTATGGCTTTCTACATTTCTGTAATGGGCATATCCATTTATTTTATATTTTGTTAAACATTTTATCATTTCTCTCTTTCTCCATACTGGCACACTTCCCTTCCTTTTCCTTAATTCCAGGTAAGTCAATTCTAGTACTTACCCAATGTATTGTAAACTAATTTCAACTAATTAGGACTAAATGTAATTAGTTTGTATTAGAATCAGATTCCTTTATATTAAAAAAAAAACAAAAAAACACTTTTCAATTTATTTTCTCTTGGACTTTAATGTAGACATTAAACATTTTTTACAACAGAATGGAATCATTTATGATTTGGGGTCAAACTACAAACTAATTAAATTAAGGCCTTTATACCCTAACAATCAATTTTGCCCTTTTGTTTAATTCTTCTTTCTTTCTTCCTCATCAACTTTTTTAAAGTCCCTTTTGCAAACCTGTTTGGCACAAACTGGTATATATGTGCTATACATTTTGATAATGACTGCAGGAGTCTGTGACAATGCTGGACATGTGTAAAAGTATAGCACAAAGATCAATGGAGGTCCCTTGAGGACCACAAAATCCTGAAAAAAAACAGCATGCTTAATGCGCTAGATGAAGCCTAAATCCTACAACTGTAATTAGTGATAGTGGTGGGAAGTCATAAAACCTGACAGTGGAAGCTACACTTTTAATCAAGTTTTGTCAATTTGGGCTTGACCATAAGACAACGAAGTCCTTTGTCTTATGATATCTTTTGACTTCAGAATATATCTTTTTAAAATACTGAATACTGAATTAGCCACTCTAATGTGTGCAGTGATTGTGCTTTAATAAGAATTTACAGTGATAATATTACCATAATATATTTTACTGGTTTATGAAAATATATGTTGAATGGAGCAGGACTGCTTCCTATAAACATTGAGAAATGTGAAATATACAGATACACATGTATGGCGGAATTGTCAGATAAACATATATGATGTCTTACTAGGGCAGTGGTTCCCAACCCAGTCCTCGTGGAACCCCTACCAGTCCAGGATTCAGGGATTACCCAGTTGTATCTAAGGTGTTTTTAGAAAAAAAGAACACCTTGGACACAACAGAGTGATCCCTAAATCCTGGACTGGTAGGAGTTCCACGATGACTGGTTTGGGAACCACTGTACTAGGGTATACTAACCCTGGCCTTAATTTGAATCTTAAAAGTAAGATTTTATTTAGGAACGGATTATAACTAGACCTTTTCTGACATTTAGTTTTATATATAAAATGTGTATTTATCTAGGGGACTGGACCATATTTTGAATACAAATCAATTGCAATATTCATTCCATTTTGGTGGCAGTGGCCCTTTAAATTCACCTGATAATCCCCATGAACCAAGAATAAGCACATATATATTACAGTCCAGTACTCAAACTTAAAATAATAAATGCCAAGGTGAGATTCCAGCCATAAAACACAAATATATCGTGAGAGAAGGCCTCTTACAGGTCTTGCGCAAATATGCTTATTTTTTTAAATCATCACGTTTCATGCCTTTAAAATCTCTGTATGTTTAAACTAACAGTATTTGATGCAACAAACTCGTCCCAATTATTTCCATATCTGCAACAGGATTATCAAACCCAAGGAGTTAACCACAGATGTCACTTCAACAAAGCCCCGTTCTGAGATGGAACACCCTCACAAGACTCCATGGGAATCACACAAGTTTTGGCAAACCCCATCCATGGTGGTCCTTTTTTAGACCCTGCTCTGTGATTGGTCATGAAAACAGGGGGTGCCTGTCAAGGCCTAAGACCAAAATAAGATTGACCACAAGATGAGGGCAGAAGGAAAGTCCGTACCACTCCAAAAGGATGGACCACCATCTTAAATTTGTCCACCAGACCCCTTGATCAGGATGAAGAACATATTCTCTCTAGGGGGGAGATATTGTGCATTCCTTCTAGTGAACCTAGTACCTTCCTGTGCAACTGAATAATTCAGATTCAATATTTTATGGAGATTAAGTACATTTTTTACGGACAAAGAAAAAGAATCTCTATACAGGGAGTGCAGAATTATTAGGCAAATGAGTATTTTGACCACATCATCCTCTTTATGCATGTTGTCTTACTCCAAGCTGTATAGGCTCGAAAGCCTACTACCAATTAAGCATATTAGGTGATGTGTATCTCTGTAATGAGAAGGGGTGTGGTCTAATGACATCAACACCCTATATCAGGTGTGCATAATTATTAGGCAACTTCCTTTCCTTTGGCAAAATGGGTCAAAAGAAGGACTTGACAGGCTCAGAAAAGTAAAAAATAGTGAGCTATCTTGCAGAGGGATGCAGCACTCTTAAAATTGCAAAGCTTCTGAAGCGTGATCATCGAACAATCAAGCGTTTCATTCAAAATAGTCAACAGGGTCGCAAGAAGCGTGTGGAAAAACCAAGGCGCAAAATAACTGCCCATGAACTGAGAAAAGTCAAGCGTGCAGCTGCCACGATGCCACTTGCCACCAGTTTGGCCATATTTCAGAGCTGCAACATCACTGGAGTGCCCAAAAGCACAAGGTGTGCAATACTCAGAGACATGGCCAAGGTAAGAAAGGCTGAAAGACGACCACCACTGAACAAGACACACAAGCTGAAACGTCAAGACTGGGCCAAGAAATATCTCAAGACTGATTTTTCTAAGGTTTTATGGACTGATGAAATGAGAGTGAGTCTTGATGGGCCAGATGGATGGGCCCGTGGCTGGATTGGTAAAGGGCAGAGAGCTCCAGTCCGACTCAGACGCCAGCAAGGTGGAGGTGGAGTACTGGTTTGGGCTGGTATCATCAAAGATGAGCTTGTGGGGCCTTTTCGGGTTGAGGATGGAGTCAAGCTCAACTCCCAGTCCTACTGCCAGTTCCTGGAAGACACCTTCTTCAAGCAGTGGTACAGGAAGAAGTCTGCATCCTTCAAGAAAAACATGATTTTCATGCAGGACAATGCTCCATCACACGCGTCCAAGTACTCCACAGCGTGGCTGGCAAGAAAGGGTATAAAAGAAGAAAATCTAATGACATGGCCTCCTTGTTCACCTGATCTGAACCCCATTGAGAACCTGTGGTCCATCATCAAATGTGAGATTTACAAGGAGGGAAAACAGTACACCTCTCTGAACAGTGTCTGGGAGGCTGTGGTTGCTGCTGCACGCAATGTTGATGGTGAACAGATCAAAACACTGACAGAATCCATGGATGGCAGGCTTTTGAGTGTCCTTGCAAAGAAAGGTGGCTATATTGGTCACTGATTTGTTTTTGTTTTGTTTTTGAATGTCAGAAATGTATATTTGTGAATGTTGAGATGTTATATTGGTTTCACTGGTAATAATAAATAATTGAAATGGGTATATATTTGTTTTTTGTTAAGTTGCCTAATAATTATGCACAGTAATAGTCACCTGCACACACAGATATCCCCCTAACATAGCTAAAACTAAAAACAAACTAAAAACTACTTCCAAAAATATTCAGCTTTGATATTAATGAGTTTTTTGGGTTCATTGAGAACATGGTTGTTGTTCAATAATAAAATTAATCCTCAAAAATACAACTTGCCTAATAATTCTGTACTCCCTGTAAATACTTTTTTACCCCTCAACATCTAATCCCACCCTCAAAACGTTTGTAAGGAAATTACACACATATATGACACAGATTTTGTCTTCACTCAACCACAGCCATGCTAACATCACCAAACGAGAAAGATTGGGGTTGGAAAGACTTTCCAGAGCTCCTAACATCATCATAAGACCGGCTAATAAAAGTGGCAATACTGTTATAATGAATTATGGTGATTACTGCACCAATATCATTGGACAACCTGTCTGCTGCTTGCACCTACAATAGGGCTAATCATTACCCAGGCATTGAATTTGCACGTATACTTTGAGAAACACTTGAGGATGTTTCACAGAGGTCAACTATTTCAAATGACCTTCTGAATTACGTATTTGTCTAAGTGTACACAGCTCCAGAAAATTCACAAGAATGCCCAATGTCTACCAAGGAGATTTATTGGCTCTGCTAAAAGAAGTCTCCTGGAATAAGTTTCGGGAATGGCTGGATTCTATTTTGAAAGAACCTGTCACTTCTTTCCCCACCTGTGTCAAAGATACTGGGGTAGTAAGACTCAATGATTTACATATACCACATATGGAAATTATCCTAGTCACAATGGATGTGTACAGCCTCTACACGGTCATCCCACATGCAAAGGGGATCAAGGCTGTGGAGGAAGTGCTGTCTGGGGCACTTGAACCAGTAAAGTATCCTACTGATTCTGTTTTTGCACTGTTGAGACTAACCTTGAAAATTAATTATTTCCAAATTGAGGATAGATTCCATGTACAACAAACTGGCATGTCCATGGTTACGGCTATGGTGCTTATGTACACCAATGCCTTTATGTAGATATATGAGAGAGATCAGATATTAAATATATTTTCACAAAATATCGTCACCTTCATGCATTTCATCTACTTCATTTTTTTGGTGTAGAAAGGCGAGGCGCATGAATTGGAACATATGTTGTTATACTTGAAGTCACTGCAATCCACAGTTTGGTTTACTTATAAGTTTAGTACAGACAGACAACATTGATTTTCTGAATTTGAGCATTAGCCAAATCAATGGGCACTTGGTATTCAGTTTATGCAGAAAACCCACTGATCGCAATACACTTCCATCCTCTGAGACATAAGCAGTCTCTCCCCATCTCTCCATTTAAGCAAGTGATGCAGCAGAATTGAAAGCAATAGGCAGAGCTAGAGAGCGAATTGCTCCACAATTAGTTAACGCAGTGGAGCAGACGGATCTTCTCTAATAAGAGGTGCACCAATTTCACTGAGATACCAATGCATACAGATCAATTTTACCAATGCCTGAGGGGGAAAACGTAAAATAACGCTGACTACTACAGGTGCTTAGGGTGCACCACATGCAGCCATATGATCCAGGGTAGGTAATTTCATCACCCTCATTTGGGAAAATCATACAAAATTGACCAACTGCATGACTCAATCTGTAATTTAAAGGATTGTATGCACCTGTGGGTTAGCATATATTGGAATGACTAAAAATAGTCTCAGGGAATGTTTTGCTAATCACAGGACATTCATCCGCAATGTATGCAAGGGCGTCAGGGAAGCCCCAACAGTGGCAAGATATTTTGCACAGATGGGCCATCAGCTGGCCACTTTGATGTTTACAGGGATCGACCAAGTCCCAGTTCCATGCAGGGGTGGAGAGAGCGACTTGGAATTGACCAAAAAAGAAGCATATTAAAGTTTTAAGTTGGACACTGTGTCTCCGAAGGGTCTTAATGAGAGGATTTCCCTTCTTACCTAAGAGACTAATTATTTACTGTCTTGTTCAGATCATAGAATGTAATTTGGTTTGTTTACTGCATGCTGCTTTTTGCTTCACATTGGTAAGGTATTTAGTTTTCAGCAGTTTAGGTGGTCTACTCCTACATGACGCGAGTTGCCTCCGTTAGTTAGTTTGTTACATATTATGTTAAAGGGATTCTATAGTGCCCGGAAAACAAACGTGTTTTCCCGGCACTGTAGAATCCAACAGTTCCCCCCTCCCTCTCACACCCCATCCCACGTTGCTGAGGGGGTTAAAACCCCTTCAGTTACTCACCTGAATACAGCGCCAATGTATACAGTTACTCACCTGAATACAGCTCCGTTCACGCTCCTCCCCCGCCGACATCAGCTGCCAGGGGAGACCTAATGCGCATGAGTGGCAATGGCCACCTTCGCAATAGGGTTTCCCTATAGGAAAGCATTATGCAATGCTTTCCTATGGAGATTCCGGTGACGCTGGAAGTCCTCATGCAGAGCGTGAGGATGTCCAGCGTTGTTTAGACAACCAACAGTCGTCTAAATACCCGGAAGTCCCCACAGTGGCTGTCTGGTAGACTTAGCCCTGCAAAGTAATTATTGCAGTTTCTCAGTAATTATTGCAGATTCTCAGAAACTGCAATGATTACCACTGTAGAGTTAAGAGACATGGGACATTGCACCCAGACCACTTCAATGAGCTGAAGTGGTCTAGGTGCCAACAGTGTCCCTTTAAGTGCCTGTATACATGTTCTGAAGCTATGTTCATTAAGTGTGGTGGTAACTAGCCCTGGTAATTTTTGTGTTAATATGTTTTTACTATGTAACATTGGCATTTCTATCTATATGATGTGCTTAGGATGTTACTTGTATTTTCACCTTTTCATTGATCTGTATGGATGACTGGTATATAGAACTTTGCTGCACATATCAGATTCTACTTTATACGTTACCGTTATGCATTACAGGGGGGAAAAAAGTATTTGATCCCCTGCTGATTTTGAACGTTTGTCCACTGACAAAGAAATGATCAGTCTATAATTTTAATGGTAGATGTATTTTAACAGTGAGAGACAGAATTAAAAAAAATCCTGAAAAATACATGTCAAAAAAGTCATAAATTGATTTGCATGTCAATTAATGAAATTAGTATTTGATCACCTATCAATCAGCAAGATTTCTTGCTCCCAGGCGTCTTTTATACAGGTAACAAGCTGAGATTTGGAGCACTCCATTTAAGAGAGTGCTCCTAATCTCAGCTCGTTACCTGTATGAAAGACACCTGTCCACAGAATCAATCAATAAATCAGATTCCAAACTCTCCACCAAAGAGCTGTCCAAGGATGTCAGGGACAAGACTGTAGACCTACACAAGGCTGGAATGGGCTACAAGACCATCGCCAAGCAGCTTGGTGAGAAGGTGACAACAGTTGGTGCGATTATTCGCAAATGTAAGAAACACAAAATAACTGTCAGTCTCCCTTGGTCTGGTCTTCCATGCAAAATCTCACCTCGTGAAATGTCAATGATCATAAGAATGGTGAGGAAGCAGCACAGAACTACACAGGAGGATCTTGTTAATGATCTCAAGGCAGCTGGGACCACAGTCACCAAGAAAACAATTGGCAACACACTACGCTGTGAAGGACTGAAATCCTGCAGCACCTGCAAAGTCCCCCTGCTCAAGAAAACACATGTACAGGCCTGTCTGAAGTTTGCCAACGAACATCTGAATGATTCAGAGGAGAACTGGGTGAAAGTGTTGTGGTCAGATGAGACCAAAATCAAGCTCTTTGGCATCAACTCAACTTGCCGTGTTTGGAGGAGGAGGAATGCTGCCTATGACCCCAAGAACACCATCCCCACCGTCAAACATGGAGGTGGAAACATTATGCTTTGGGGGTATTTTTCTGCTAAGGGGACAGAACAACTGCACCACATCAAAGGGACGATAGACAGGGCCATATACCGTCACATCTTGGGGGGAACCTCCTTCCCTCAGCCAGGGCATTGAAAATGGGTCTTAGATGGTTATTCCTGCATGACAATGACCCAAAACACACAGCGAAAGCAACAAAGAGGTGGCTCAAGAAGAAGCACATTAAGGTCTTGGAGTGGCCTAGCCAGTCTCCAGACCTCAATCCCATAAAAAAATCTGTGGAGGGAGCAGAAGGTTGGAGTTGCCAAACGTCAGCCTCGAAAACTTAATGACTTGGAGAGGTGTGGGAGAAAATCCCTCCTGAGATGTGTGCAAACCTGGTGGCCAACTACAAGAAACGTCTGCCCTCTGTGATTGCCAACAAGGGTTTTTCCACCAAGTACTAAGTCAAAGGGGTCAAGTACTTATTTTACTTATTACATGCAAATCAAGTTATAACTTTTTTGACACGCGTTCTGGATTTTTTATGGGGGTTATTCTGTCTCTTACTGTTAAAATACACCTACCATTAAAATTATAGACTGATTATTTCTTTGTCAGTGGGCAAACATTCAAAATCAGCAAGGGATCAAATACTTTTTTCCCTCACTGTATACTTGTGTTTCATGGTACTCAGTGGTAGTTTCTATGGTGATGGGGGTGGGGTGTTAATTTCATACTGAGGATGAGGAGCCTATTTTTCACTTTTGTAGAGTTTGCCCAGGATATTTAAATCCATTGTTTTGCTATTGCTTGTTATCCTGCTGAAAGTCCAGTTTCGATAACAAGCAATACAATGGATACAAACAAATACTTAAGCATATTTGAGCAAGATCAGTGAGTGCATTATCTTTCTTTATCTATCTATCTATACATATACACACACACACACACACATATATATATATATATATATATATACTATATACACATATACATATATATATATATATATATATAACTATATAGACACATATATACATTCATACATATACTTACAAATATATATGCACACATTTACACACACACATATATATGGGGAATTGCAGGCACACCCAGAACATACATTTCTAAGTAGTGGTGCTGCTGTAAAGACCAACATATATACAAAATACAGATGGTACAAAAAAATACAGTTTTAATTTTAAGGTTTAAGGTTTAAGGTTACTTAAAATGCTAAACAGATATCAAAAACTCTACTCAATTTATGCTTTTCTGTTGTCATCTCCAAAGGGGTACCTATAGTTAATGGTTGGAAAAAGCATAAATTGATGTCTGGATGCAGTTTAAGTAGTAAGTATTGCAGTTAGCATGTAAATCTCCTATTTAGGACTCACATATTGGGAACCTGTGCTGTAGTGGTGGGCTTAATACAATAGGGCCATATGGTGTAAATTAATCCCTATGCTGAGATAGGTGATTTTAAATTTGGAAAATATAAACTGTATTTTTTTTGTGTGCGCTGTTCCCTACATACATACATTATATATATACACACACACAATTATATATACACTTTACGGATTGTGAATATGAATATATGAGTGTACTGGCCTGTTGATAAAAATAACAGATGTGCAGCAAGAGGAACCTGGCCAATATGTATGTAGACACAATATATACAGAGCAAATATATCATGAGTATAATTAAATAGCACAATACAACACAACACAAAAACAAAGATAAACAGTGTATAGGGCTTTTGTATTGATATGTGAAATAATAAAGTAAAATGCATTAATTTACTAAAATGCAGTGACTGGAATTGTTTATAATACATGTACTTTTTTCATGTATAATATTTGTACATTATTTTGAAGTCTTATATTAATATCATTTGTCTGTACAATACGTTTTTGAAAACATTCTTTTTCTTTTGCACTGATTGTTGTGTGATAGTGAAAAATATACATTTTGTACAAAAATAGGCATTCTAGTTTCACTGTATAAAATACATGAAATAATAAGTCTCTAAGACACTAGAGGGTGTTGTAACACATTACTTTTTTGTGCTGATTACCCCTAGTGCTTAAGCATTTAGAAATACCTTTATAATCACTCCTAGAGATACATTTAAAAAAATTAAAAATAAGAACTTAACATGGCATTGCATACATATGAAAAAAAAAAAAGATGAAATTATTTTATGAGGTCACTTGTTATATGATCATCAAGATGTCATATAAATATAGAAGAATCCTTCTTCCTTTTCTTTTCAGTCTTTTTTGGCCTAAAATAACACAATGACAATGTCAGTCATTAATCTGTCAATAATATCTCACTTATACAGAAAAATGTAAACCAGCACTGTAATCTAAAATTTCATTCCATTAATCAGTTTGAAACAATAATGCAAATTAAAGGAACACTATAGTCACCTTAATTACTTCAGCTAAATAAAGCAGTTTTAGTGTATAGATCATTCCCCTGCAATTTCACTGCTCAATTCACTGTCATTTAGGAGTTAAATCACTTTGTTTCTGTTTATGCAGCCCTAGCCACACCTCCCCTGGCTATGATTGACAGAGCCTGCATGAAAACAGATGTAATTTACCTTAAATAATTGTATCTCAATCTCTAAATTGAACTTTAATCACATACAGGAGGCTCTTGCAGGGTCTAGCAAGCTATTAACATAGCAGGGGATAAGAAAATCTTAATTAAACAGAACTTGCAATAAAGAAAGCCTAAATAGAGCTCTCTTTACAGGAAGTGTTTATGGAAGGCTTTGCAAGTCACATGCAGGGAGGTGTGACTAGGGTTTATAAACAAAGGGATTTAACTCCTAAATGGCAGAGAATTGCGCAGTGAGGCTACAGGGGCATGTTCTATACACCAAAACAGCTTCATTAAGCTAAAGTTGTTCAGGTGACTATAATGTCCCTTTAACGTTATTTATTTTAGCACAGAAAGGAGGTTTAGCTGGAATTACCAGTTGAAGATCTGCCAGCTCTGTACTATATAGGTGGCCATCTTGGAAATACAGCACACTTTTCAAACTTTCAGTGAAAGTTAAAAGGGTTACTCAAACAATTTAAGCTTAAGAAGGTTTGGTGTGTAGACCATACCAGTGTGAGTGCTCAATTATGTATCATTCGTTTATGCAACCCTAGTCCCATCTTCCCTGGATGTGACTCACACAGACTCAATAAATAAAAAAAAAGGTTAATGCACATTTTCTACATCACTGTGTTCACTTTAGAAGTTTTTTATTTCCTTCTCTGTTGATTGAAAAGTAATCATACATCATAGGCTGCAAGCTCAAGAAAGCAATTAACAGAGTAGGAGATATGAGCTTCTAAAGTAAACACACTGGGTAAGTGGGAAAGTTTAAAAATTATACCTGTTTGTTTAGGAAATGTTTAGTGAGACTGTGTAATTCATAGACAAGAGAGGTGTGGCTGAGAATGTAAAAACATCCTGATATAACTCCTAAATGACATAGAATTAAGCTTTGAGAATGCAGGGACACTATTTATTCACTAAAGCTATCCATTACACTAAAGTTGTTTTGGTGTTTAGCAGGTCACTTTAATGATAATACCTGATACAGCAGCCAATTAGAGAATGTGTTTTGTGAAGTAGTTTCCAGCTACTAACTGACAGGTTGTAAAAATTGACCAAGGTTATCTGGAAATCCTTTATTTTTCATAAAACTACTGAATGGGTTTCATAACAGGGTTGATGTTCCAGGAGGGATAAGCCAAATGGCAAATGATTAGACATTGCATACCTAGATTTGCGGCGCATGCACATACAGCCGGTGACGTCAGAAGAGGGTGGAGAGTCCAAGTACCAAGGTAAGGGATTAACCCCTTCCCCCCCTTCAGCGCCACAGGAGTGGGACCCTGAGGCTGGGCGCACCCTCAGGGCACGATAGTGCCAGGAAAACGAGTATGTTTTCCTGGCACTATAGTGGTCCTTTAAGTAAGTGTTTTATTGCTTAGGTCTTGATATAACAGAATAACCTTTAGTAGCAATGCAATCTTTAGTATGCAGATCCTTATTTGAATACTTAAACAATGTCCAATAGAATTATATGCAGAGTATAAACATGTAGTATATATATGCAGGAGTTGTGCAGGATATATTCAGGTTGCAATTTAAATACAGGAATATATTGAAGCACAGTGAACTGACTTTTTGAATTGACTGGATTCACCCTTTGAGAGGATTAAACTGAATGACTTTAACAAAACAGCAAATCCCAGTATAACAGAATAACTTAGTTTGTTTGTGGAGGTTGGTGATTAGAGAGAGTCCTTTCCTTATTTAAGAAGTCTGTAGTTCAGCAATATCAGTTTGGAGTAAAGAGATTAGAGTAGTCAAAGTCCGTTCCGTTTCCAGGGAGTAAAGAGTTCAGCAATGTCGGTTTTGGAGGTTCAGTACACAGCGAGCTCAGACGGCACTTAGTAACAAAATGAAACAAATTAACTGAGCACTTGAGATTACCTGCAGCTTCCTTTTAACTTGTGTGTGGGTGACATCAGAAGCATTGGCGGGGCCTGATCGGTGTATCGGGAAGTGCTGCACAGTGTAGCTGCCAATCAGTAATCATGACAGAGAGCAACCAAGTGGCAGGTTGGGAAAGAAGTAAAACTGCAAGGTGGGAGTGAAGTGAAGTCTGAACTCTCTAATTAAATTGAGAGATTAAGAGATACATTTGAGGAATGACAGTTACACAGGGAGGCCATAGCTTAATCTGCTAAAGGTCAACTTTTCATTCTTTTAACCCCTTAAGGACTGGACCTTTTTTGCGATGTTGTACATTTGCGACCAGGCATATTTTTACACTTTTGTGGTGTTTGTGTTTGGCTGTAATTTTCCGCTTTCTCATTTACTGTTCCCATACAAATTATATATTGTTTTTTTCAGGACAAAAGGGGCTTTCTTTACATACCATTATTTATATAATCTCATGTATTTTAATTTAAAAAAAATAAAAAATATGATGAAAAATTGAAAAAAATACATGTTTTTTGACTTTTACTTGAAAAATCTTTTACTCATCTACAAAAGCGAATGAAAAAAACTGCTAAATAAATTCAAAATTTTGTCCTGAGTTTAAAAATACCTAGTGTTTACGTGCTTTTTTGCTTTTTTTTGCATGTTATAGGGCTATAGGTACAAGTAGGATATTGCGGTTTCAAAACATACATTTTAAAATTTATCAATAGTGACATTGTAACACTATTATCTGTCATAAATCTCTGAATAACACTAACATTTTTTATTAACACTAACTTTATTTTTTTTATTGATTTTACACTAGCAGGGAGACTGCCTGTCAGCACAGGCAGTCCCCCTGCAGGCAGACACATGGACACCTATTGTGACCATGTGATCGCTGTGTTGAGCGATCACATGGCCCCAGGGGTCCTAATTCAGTGTGGGGAGACTGTATGGGCTGCAGGCAATCTCCCCACAACCGGAGCAACGCTGATCGCCGCCGGGGGAACGACGGCGATCAGGTAAGTAAATAGGACCGTTAGGACGGTTCAGGACCGTCATCGGTCGGCAATGGGAAAATGCCGATGACGGTCCTGAACCGTCCTCGGTCGGGAAGGGGTTAAAATGAACTTGTATTTATTATTATTGATTATAGTTGCTTCCAAATAAGGCAGTCTTTACACATTCTGGAATGGTGCATTCCTTCATAGTGTAATTTGGCATCAAGCAAGTTTACAACGGAGACACTACAACTACAAGATATATATAATTAAAATTGAAGAAAAGAAATCTAAACTGAAGAACATGCTTTATGTATTAAAAAAAGGTTGTTTTGATAGAGCTCATTTAAATAAAATGTCCTTTAGGGAGAGAACTGTCCTTGCCAAGCTTATCTAATTGTTCTGTACCAAATGTCCACTGCTAAAATCCATGCTTCATGTATTAATCAGTGCTTTTATGATGCAGTAGGCGCATTCAGTCTTAAATCCTTGCACACATTAATTTATGGATACTGCTCAATCTTGTTCAAACAGAATTGTTTTTAATAAATGGACAATATGTTGGAAAATGTTAAGCACATGTTTTTTACTTTTTTGTTTATGCCTACTAAAAAAAATCAGTTATGTCTGCTTCATCTCTGCTGATACAGACAACTCAGCCACACACACACACAAGCAAAGTTATGGTGCACAAAGCTGCTTTCTCCCCTTGAATGTTGTCACTGAAGTGAAGAAAATATTGTGCTGGTATAGGCCAGATGATTTTGTTCAATGGCATAAAGCTGTGCTTTTCCTTTCCAAAAAAAGTAAATATGTTTTGCTCCAAAAGATTGGCTAGCAGCTGCTACCAACATGAGAAGTGTGTCAGAATATTAATCTCTTTTTGGAAAAAAGGGAAGGAAGGTGCTTTTCTGGAGGTATATCTTCCCAATCTAGAATGAAAGTAGCTTGGTATGCTCCTAAAATTAGGTGCAATAAGATCCAGGAGTCAGTTCACTTAGAAAGGCTTTTCTATGTTAAAAGATACACAGCTAGTATATATGGGGTGTATATCTTTAAGTCTGCTAAAAGCAGAATCAAATTGTTACACACCAAATTGCTCTACTTGGAATTTCAAGATAAACGCTGTAATACAAGGTATATATAGGAAAACAGTATAAGGAACTGTTTCCTATATGGCAAGAGACTTATATGATTAAGAGTGTATATATCTTTAAATCTATTGGGACATGACAAAATCTGTGTCAATATCACATACTATGATGTATAAAAAACCAAATATAAGATTTAAAATTTATACTGTTAGATAAATCACTATATGTTATAAAAATATATAGAAAAGTAGATAGATAAAAATTAGATTGAATAGTATACTATTTCTATCTAATTTCTATCTAATTTTTTATCTATCTACTTTTCTATATATTTTTATAACATATAGTGATTTATCTAACAGTATAAATTTTAAATCTTATATACTGTTATGCAGGACTATTGATACCGACCGGGCTCCATTCCCCTTGGTCGAGCGGAGCCTATGGTCGATGTAGCAATAGGGGGAAAAAGGAGTTCTTTCATGATCGACACTGGTGCTGAACATTCTGTGGTAACCGACCTAGTTCCTCCTCCTTCAGGAAGAGCTATCACTGTAATAGGAGCAACTGGGAGGAGTGCTGCTAAGCCGGTTCTCAAAAGTCGACTCTGTACACTGGGAGGCCACGTAGTGAAACATCAGTTCCTTTACATGCCTGAATGTCCAGTCCAACTTCTAGGACGGGATTTGTTGTCGAAGTTACAAGCACAGAGAACATTTCTGCCTAACGGAACGACATCCTTGAAGTTTAATGGACCCTCAGGTATAATGACACTATCAGTACCAAAGGAAGAAGAGTGGCGACTTTATACAGTGATGACAAGTCAAAACCCTAAGAGTGATGAATCCTTGTATAATATACCAGGAGTGTGGGCAGAAAATAACCCACCAGGACTTGCTCGCAATATCCCACCTATACGCATCGAACTAAAGCTTGGGGTTTATCCAGTAAGCCTGCGACAATACCATATACCTCAAAAGGCGAAGAAGAACATACAGTCTTATTTGGATAAGTTCATAAGGTATGGTATCCTAAAATTCTGTACTTCCCCCTGGAATACTCCATTGTTGCCTGTTCAGAAGCCTGGGTCAGATGAGTATCGTCCTGTGCAGGATTTGAGAGCAGTCAATGATGCGGTAGTAAGTATACATCCAGTTGTGCCCAATCCTTATAACCTGCTTGCCTTGATTCCGGGTGGGGCTACTTACTTTACAGTCTTGGACCTTAAAGATGCCTTCTTTTGCCTACGAATTGCTACAGAAAGCCAGTGTATCTTTGCATTCCAATGGGAAGATGCTGTAACGGGCTCAAAACGTCAGATGACCTGGACAAGATTGCCCCAAGGGTTTAAAAATTCACCTACCCTATTTGGATCAGCATTAAGTCAGGACTTATTAGATTTCAAGTCCATCCCAGGAGAATGTGTACTACTACAATACGTGGATGATTTGTTACTAAAGAGATATGCCAGCAAGCAACTTTACTGCACATTCTTTGGAAGGCAGGATACAAGGTGTCCAGGAAGAAAGCTCAGTTGTGTCAGCCAACTGTCAAGTATCTGGGATTCCATATCTCTGAAGGTCAAAGGATAATGGGGCCTGAAAGAAAAGAGGCTGTATGCCAAATACCAACACCTAAGAACAGAAGACAAGTGCGAGAATTCTTGGGGGCAGCAGGCTTCTGTAGGATATGGATTCCCAGTTATGCAATACTGGCGAAACCCCTCTATGCCGCTATTAAAGGCACGGAACATGATTCCTTCCTGTGGACCGTCGAACAGCAGAAGGCATTTGAGGATGTTAAGAAGGCATTGATGAGCGCCCCCGCATTAGGTCTACCTGATCATACACGTCCATTCTACTTATATGTACACGAGCAAAGAAGGATGGCTGTGGGAGTACTGACACAGTATCTGGGATCATGGCAACGACCTGTTGCGTATATGTCCAAACAACTGGATGCAGTAGCCAGTGGTCTTCCTCCTTGTCTAAGGGCCGTAGCTGCCGCCGCCCTGTTGGTAGCAAAAGCTGACAAGCTCACTCTGGGTCAGGAACTCTATGTGCGAGTCCCGCACGCAGTACAGACGTTGCTAGACTATAAAGGTAATCATTGGTTTAGCAATAGCCGAATGACTAAATATCAAGCCATGCTATGTGAAACTGTTAATACCCTGAATCCAGCTACCCTTTTGCCACAACGTAATGAAAGTAAACATGATTGTTTGGAGATAATGGATGAGGTGTTTTTCAAGCTAACCGGACCTTCATGACTTTCCCATTCAGGACCCGGATGTACAGTATTATACGGATGGTAGTAGCTATGTGAAAGAAGGAATTACTCGGCAGCAGGTTGTAGAGTTGGGTAAAACTACGGAGGAGGTACAGAAATGGGTACAAGATAGGTTACCTGTAAATATTTATCCACCTGTCCATTCTTACCATCCAGGAGACCAAGTTTGAATAAAGGAGTGGAACAGTGTACCGTTGGGGCCAAAGTGGAGGGGTCCTTATGCTGTTCTTTTGTCTACTCCAACAGCTATAAAGGTGGCAGAGGTGACTCCGTGGATTCATCACTCCAGGGTTAAACCAGCAGCAGATTCTTGGCAAGCTACTCAAGATCCTGAGAATCCCTGCAAGATCCGGTTGAAGCGAGTGACCCAGTTAGATTAAAAGTGGTTTTTGCGAAGAGTATTGTTACAAGGGAACATCAACAAAGATCTACAAGTAGGTGTTTTGACGGCCACAATAAAGCCTGACCACCTACCAACGTTTAAGCCAGAGGAATCCTCTGTGAAGAACAGTGAGGATCAGAAGGACTCCATTCCCTGCAGCCCTCACACGCCTGGAAGCTGAGGTGCCGTCGCACGGTCGAAGAATTAGGAAGAAGATGTCAGGAGTAATGTGTTTGATGATGTATATATGTGTGTTTTTAATTATTCAGGAAGGTAGAGGTACTGACACACCAGGCTGCGAGGTTTGCATTAAGACTACGAAAACAGGCAATCGTATTTCCCAGACCCTTATTTGGCATTCGCAGTATGAGTGCACAGGATATGTATCAAAGTGTAGATACCTAGGTACAGATTATAGTGTATGCCATATAGGAGCAGGAGAACCTAGGTGTTTTAATCCTGAGTATCAGCCCCGTCCAATTTGGTTGACTATTCGGAATGAGAACGCACAGGGGAACCTGATAAATAAGACTGTACTAGAAAGCGTACATTCTCCAGGTGTTTTGCTATTTGATGCATGTAAGGCGATATCAGGTAGTAGGAAGCCATGGAATATATGTGGTGGTCTTAAATGGGAAAGAACGTATGGGTCTAATGATAAGGATATTTGTCCTAGTAATAAGCATAAGTATATAGATCCAAACTGCCTAAATAAAGACTACAATTATTGTCCGTATTGGTCCTGTGTGGGATGGGCAACCTGTGGACAGACAGTAGATAAGGATATGATTATTACTAGATTGCCTACCAAGCCATATTGTAAGTCTATGGAGTGTAACCCAGTCCATATACTTATCAAGGACCCAGAGCTATTTATAGATAAGTTTGGGAATCTATTTGGGTTCCAAATATATGGAACAGGTTTGGATCTTGGGACGCTATTATACATAGGAATAGAGACAGATACAGTGGCCCCCCAGACTCATCAGGTTTTCCATTCTTTTTATGAGGAGATGAGTGTGGAAGATAAGGTTCCCCATAATGCCAAAAACTTATTCATAGACCTAGCTGAGAGCATTGCTGGTAGTCTTAATGTAACCAACTGCTATGTGTGTGGAGGTACTAATATGGGAGACCAATGGCCTTGGGAAGCAAAGGAGGTAATGTATTCTGGTTCTGAGACAGTTGAACAACTAATATCTTCTCAATCTGATTATCAAGTGAGTGTTAGAGGTAAATCTGAGTGGCGATTAAAGACCTCCATTATATGTTATGTTTGTATAGCAAGGAAAGGAATAATGTTTAATACATCTGTAGGAGAATTGACTTGTTTAGGGCAGAAAGCCTATAATGACGATACAAAGGATACTATTTGGTGGTCATCTTCAAATGTCTCAGAACCGTCTAATCCGTTTGCAAATTATACCCAACACCACCAAGACCCCACGGGTCTATTTTTTTGTGCAATAAAATCAGTTCAAAGGGATTGGAGAGGAGGAAATTATATTAACAAGCTGGGTAAAGAAGAAATGAAATGTATTTTTAATTTTAATACTCTTATACCCAATGGTCTTAACTCCGATTTTGAAATCTGCCACTTTTTATAACATGTTTTTTTTTTTTTTTTCTAAAGTTTTTTAAGCTTAGTTATAATAGATGACTGAATGTACATATATGTTTTTATATTTGTCATTTTCGTCTTGTTTGTATTATGGTGTCTTTTATCTAAATATGTGTTAATTTTATACATAATTCCATACACAACTTTTAAATATAATTTTTATTGATTTTTAATAAGGTTTATAAGATTCCCTTTTATTAGATATGGAGGTTCCTTTACTCCTTTTACCCCATACCAATGTATCTATCAGCATTTATATTGTCTATGGCTCAAGGGAAAAAACAGAGCCTGTACAGATATGGACTTTTGTTCTTTGACTAGAGAGTAAAGTTTGTTGAATGTGTGGAACGCATATGCGTTCCAACGAGGACCTAGCCAACAACCCGCGGACCGGAAATACGTCATCAGGACGCGACCGGAAGTGAAAAAACGGCGCGAACCTGGAAATAACTATTCTCCTGGACAGGTATAAATCTACACTGTTTTATGGACATTACTAGCAACTGAGGAAGCCCATGATCTGGGCGAAACGCGTTTTGCAATTTGTTTGGACTTTATATGCACTTATTATAGTGCTATGTTAAGTTCTTATTTACTTTTATATATTTGTATTTTTTTATTTACTATTTCTATTACCTACCATTAAAAGAATTTAGTCCCCAATATTTTATTGGAGTGGACATTTCTTTTAGCACTACTGGAAGACCCTTGACACCCAGAAAGACATCCAGAAAGGGAGTGGGATCCCTTCCAATCATCCCACAGGCACTCTTATTGAGCCATTACCTATTGGCTCCTCCTTTGTGAGTACTAAATCACATATTTACTGTTTACATATATTGTATTGTACAGTATTGCACTAGGTGCTCGTATATGATTTTATCTCCACAGTTACTTCATTTACCTACATGATACCATCTTTTACCCTGAATTGCATCATTCCACCCATTTGTATGTATATGATTTTATGCTATTTGTTGTGTGGATAGAGAGGTTACCACACGGGTGTTTTTAGAGTGATTTGGCATATATTTGGGCTACACGTTGGAACTCTGTTTTTGTATTTTTAAAGGATGTATGGTTTGACCTATCTGCTACATCTAGTTGGAAAGCCCCAGCAAATTTGTACTGGATTTGTGGTAAGAAAGCATATTCGGAGTTACCACAGAACTGGGAAGGGGCATGTGTATTGGGTATGCTCAAACCATCCTTCTTCTTGTTGCCAATTGAAACAGGAGAGACTTTGGGAGTTAAAGTATATGATGTAAATCATAGGAAGAAAAGGGCACCCCTAGAGACACCTGGGAAGATGATGAGTGGCCTCCCCAGCGTATTATAGATTATTATGGGCCAGCTACGTGGGCAGAGGATGGTACTTATGGATACAGAACCCCAATATATATGCTTAATCGTATTATAAGATTGCAAGCAGTAGTTGAGATAGTTACCAATGAAACATCACAAGCGCTCAACCTACTAGCAAAGCATAACACTAGGATGAGGACAGCCATCTACCAGAATAGATTAGCTTTGGATTACCTATTGGCAGTAGAGGGAGGTGTATGTGGGAAGTTTAATCTAAGCAATTGTTGTCTTTAAATAGATGATGAAGGGCAAGCAATAGCTGAGCTTACTAGCCATATGGTTAAGCTAGCACATGTACCTACTCAGGTATGGAAAGGGTATAATCCGAGTAGTTGGTTTGGTAGTTGGTATGAGCAGTTTGGAGGAATCAAGGCATTGTTAGGTGGAGTCATACTGATTTTGATGTTGTGTCTCCTTCTGCCATGTCTGATTCCTTTGGTAATTAGGTCTATGCAGAGCATTATAGAAAGTATAGCAGAAAGAAAGGCCGCAGCACAGGTAATGGCTGTTTGCAGGTATGAAGCTCTAGATCAAGGAGAATACATGCAGGAATGTTGAGGGGTTCGTATCTTTAGAGGATCGCAAAGTCTAGTCTGGTTTATGGCAACTTGAGGTGTAAGCAAACTATGATTGGTGATGCATCTGGAATTATTTTAAATCAGAAGCATCAAAGGGGGGAATGTGATGGAATTCCAGTAAAATAAAAGTTTAGCAGGCCAAGATTGCCACAAGGCATATGTAGATACATGTGTTTGTAGTATCAGTTAGTTAGTTACACGTAGCTAAGATACTGTCATCACTGTACTGAGCATGTGCAGGAATGCAGGAACTGGAATTACGCGTCCCTCTCCTTTGTTTCAGATGAGCCACGTGGTTAGACCGGATGGATGAGTTTAGACTCTATTCATTGATTGGGTTAAGGGTATGTGTGGGCGTAGCTAATTATGGGAGGAGCTACAATGCTATATAAGGAATGTACTCTATGTATTCAGTGCTCAGATCTTTGCTGTTTTTGGTGACATAAGTCCCTCTGAGTCCCGGTCGGTGAATCGAATAAAGATCTCTTCCTTCCTGAAGAAACCTGTGTCCATCTCTCTGTTCTTGGCCTCCGTCAGTTTCCCGGTAACAATAATGCTGACAAAGCATCATGGGAGATGTAGTCCAAAACATATGGAGTGCCGAAGGTTGCCTATGCCTGCTCTAGAATAAACACCATTACATGAAAGCTTATATATTATGAAAGGCTAGCATAATTTCACCTTGCAAGGTTTTCAACATCTTCAATTGTTTCCGGTAAAGAAATTCCCATGGTCTCTGGCAAAAGCATCACAAGACCACCACATATAAGTCCAAGTATTGCTGAAACAAAATTAGAAATTAAACAAATGTAGTATTTATAAATGGTATACAAGTTACTGTAATACAAACATATCACTTGATATACATTGTGCGCAGACTTAGAGAGATTTTAAGAATATGAAAATATACTAAATGGCATAGGTTTGCTCTGTAATGAGGTTATATGTCACTTCATGCTATTGAAAAATACAAACTATAAAACTGCATTTTTTTAAAAAAAAATTGAAAGTATCCAGCCATGTAATATGAAAAATAGAGACATTTATTGAAGTGGATAAAATAAATATTGTACATAGGACAATGACGCCTCAGTCCCCTTCTAAGTAGGCACCTTGGGACCTCACACAGTTTTCACCACGTCTCTGTTCAAAATACTTTGTTGGAATCACCATCAGCTGCTTTGTCATATTTACCTGCATCTCATCAACAGTCTGAAATCTTTACCCTTTTAAAGGTGATTTTAGTTTTGGGAAAAGCCAGAAGCCGCAGGGTGTCAAATTTTTCAACAGATTCTCAACTATCCCTGAAGCATTTGCGCCACACTTTTATTTGTGTTGCACTCATTGCATCATCACCAAAAGCCTTCTGAATCATCTGAATAGTTTCCATAGAGGAATGTTCAAGCTTAACGCAAAATTTGATGCAGATTCTTAGCTCTACTCGCGCAGTAATTTTGAATGTGACGACCACATAATACACATGCTCACTCAACGGTGCTAGCATCCTCACTGACTAGTACAGTGAAGTCATTATTGTTAACGCAAACGCATTACAGGAAAGTGTCCTTGGCTACCAAGTTACATTGATGTGGCACACACCGTTCTCGACCGACCTCATATATTAATTATAGTGACATAACTCGAGTGTTTCTTTTAAATACTCTATTGGTCCTTAATATAGCTTGCTATGTTTTAATGTTAGAAAATGTTGTTTTACAAAAAAAGCATGAATGTTATTGTTATTATAATGCTAATTATAAATTCAGGTTTAAATCATGGACCAACTAATATTTCACACAAACTAATAACACTAGGAATTTTAATATATAATATATAAAAACATATCTCACCAAAGATGATTAAAGGCAATTCCACCCATAGTGCAGCCAGCCGGTAAAGTAGAAATGGAGCTATGATTCCCCCTAAGTCACACATGCCTGAACACAAGGACACACCAAAGTTTCTGCAAAGTGTAAAAAGATGCATACAGATAATTTTTTATTTATTTAAAAATAGTTAATAATTTCCTGGCCAACATGACAGCATCAGTAATGGGTTAAATCGCCACTCAGCATTCAGGACAGGAAAGTATCAATTAACAAATCTTAATAAATTCACCTCCTTCTGTAGACAGCAGAGTCTTTTATTTTATTTTTTTTCTTCTTTCCTCCAGCAGTTAGGAAACATGTTTTAGCAAGAGACCTAAATTTTATTTTATGCTCATCAGGACAATATTTTTGAATACTTTGAAGAGTTCAGCCTCTTGTCCCTAAAGACACAGTAAACACCTAGGCAAGGTGACAACCTGAGTTTAATAGCCAGAGGTCTGACCTCGCCTCTCTACTGGAGGAGATGACAATGATACATGGGGTGCATAAGGAGGCCTCGAGTTTAAGCAGATTAGACTGTTTAGTTTGCAGAATCCCCATAATTCGATGTAATACAGGCCTGCAGCAGCAGCTTACCTGCCTGTATCCAGGCTATTTAGTTTTGGGTTTCCCATAGTAGTTTAGATTACTAATTAGCAAAGGTATAAGGGCTATGGATTATTTGCAGTCCCTAATACTTCCATTGAGGCCTTCTTATAACAATTTGGGCAGATTTAGGAGGTTATAGGTGAACATCTAGGTAAATTTTATGTGTTTAGTATTGGAGCCATCTAAAACATTGCAGCTAATAGCTATATTTCAACAGAAGTCTCTCTGTACATTAAAGTCCTGTGAAGAAGAGAAATGCCAATACCAGGGCTAATGGCTACATTTCATGGAAAGTCTGCCTGTATATTACAGTCCTTAGGACAGAAGTAGAGTCCAATATCAGGGCTAGTGGATAACTTCAGAGTAAGTTTCATGCTATAGTCCTATGTAGTGGCATACCTACCACGGTATCAGGGGACGCAGCTGCGACCTGGCCTCTCACTGCAGACGGCCCAGCCGCAGCCACGACCCCTGCGACCGTGGGCCGCCTAGATACCGCCCCCCCATGATCATTGGGGGGCCCAAGAGGTGGCCAGCTGGCCACCTAATGGACCCCCCGGCGGGTGGCTGAGGTGGTGAGGAAGCTGTGTTCTCTCTGATCTGCTACCTTGCGCGGCGTTTGCTGATGCCGGGAGTTGGAATATGACATCATATTCCAGCTCCTGGCATCAGTAGACAGCCCATGAGGGAGCAGATCAGAGAGAACACAGCTCCCTTGCCGCCTCTGACAGGAACTCAGCCGACCGCCGCACTGAAGCCCCACTGGACCCCAGGGACAGATCCACGCCACCTCTCCAGGTAGGGAGGCTGGGTGGACATTTTAATGGACATTTAATATTAATAATTTGTGTGTGTCTGTAAGTGTATGTGTGTGTAAGTGTATGTGTGTGTGTGTCTGTAAATGTATGTGTCTGAGTGTGTGTCTGTGAGTGTGTGTGTGTGTTTATGTGTCTGTGAGTGTACGTGTGTATATGTCTGAGTGTGTGTATGAATGTATGTGTGTGTCTGTTACTGCATGTGTGTCTGTCTACATGTATGTGTGTGTGTGTCTCTACATGTCTGTGTGTGAGTATCTATGTGTGTCTGTATGTATGTCGGTATGTATGCATGGGTCTCTGTGTGTATGTGTGTGTGTTTCTGTATGTATGTATGGGGGGCAGGGATGTATGGGGGGGCCCCAGGGCAATTTCTGCACCGGGGTCCTGTGGTTTCTAGTTACGCCTCTCGTCCTATGGGCTAGTGGCTGTGCTTCATGGAGGTCTGTCTCTATATTGCAGCCCTGAGAAATTGTCCCAGGGGAAAATGTGGACAGAATGTGAGTGTAAGTACATTTGTCTACACTATAAATTTGTCTGATATAAATACTGTGTATGACTTGGCATACAACCTTCAGTGAAAACAGAAGAATATTCAGTCCTAATAGGTAACTGAAAATGATGTAGTGTATATTCTGTTCTTTACTTTGGCCTAGTAGTTACATGTTTGCATATATAGCATGCAAAAGGGTGTTTGTCTGTATTGGAGCTATCCTCCTTCTAAGAGGTTAATCTTGGGAGTGGTAATTAGCCACTTCAGATGTAAAACAGGTGCTGCTTAGCCTAATGAGTTACCCTTCAATTTGAGAAGAAGATCTGCTATCCTATAGTGGTTGGTAAAGTTTGATTATTCTCAAGAGAAGTCCATCAATCTACATTTGCAGGACTAAAACGGTACTTTCACATATAAGGTGATAAGTTGTTTTTGCAGATTTGTCTAATTTTGATTTGCATGTGAACATATAGGATGAACCTTAATGTACTTTATATTACATAAGGCCATCCTGTGCTGTTAAATTTTATTTTCGATGTATGTTAAAATGCATTTGAATAAAATACATGAGTACCTACCTTTCCTAGGGTTTGGTTTGCATTCACTTTGGTACCAAAATGAAAGTTAGTTGTTCTGTGCAACCTCAAAATGCTCCTTTTGATAAAACTCATATTGCATGTATATCCGCCTATTAACTGTGTAAAGTTTACAGATAAACCTGAGTTTAAAAGCAATTATGCTTACATTACGTGATTACTTTTGAAATATCCATATTTTTATGTACCGTATTTTTCACTCTATAAGACACACTTTTTTCCTCCTCAAAAGTGAGGGGAAATGTCTGTGCGTCTTATGGAGCGAATGTGCCCCTCTCCCTCCCCCTTGGTCCCCGGTAGGTCTCCTACCTTTATGTAGCATGGCTGAGTGGAGTAGTGCGCACCGTGGTACAGGAGATTCAGTTTCTTGTTCCTGAGTGCTCACTTCCTTTCAGTCCGGCCGGGTCCAAGGAAACTGAATCTCCTGTACCGCGGTGCGCACTGCTCCGCTCGGCCACACTACATAAAGGTAGGAGACCTACCGGGGACCAAGGGGGGGAGAGAGAGGGGCACTAAGGGACAGATGGAGGTGTGATAAGGAACACTATGGGTGGAAAAACCCTATGGCACAAGGGGGGGGGGTAGTGGGTGAAAGAACACTATGGGACAGGGGAGGGGGGGAGTGGGTGATAAGGAACTCTATGGGACAGGGGAGGTAGGGGAACACTTTTTTTTCTTGTTTTCCGACTCTAAAAACTAGGTGCGTCTTATGGTCAGGTGCGTCTTATAGAGTCAAAAATACGGTAAATGTTACATGTATCAATGTGTTTTTGGCCAATTGTTTATTTATTCTCCTATCCCTAAATGGAACCACATGGATAAACAGATTTGCTTATTTTTCATTATTCAGAATTGCTAGGGTTGATATTTCTGTTACAGGCATTTAGTACCATGTATTAAGAGATACCTTTATTATTGGTATGTTTCACTTCTTTGTCATAGATCTGACATTTTATAGTATAAGAATGCATCTGCTCATCTGATGGGGAAATGAGCGACGCAGGTTTCCTGTGCTAGGGACACGGAAGTGCCCTCTAGTGGCTGTCTAGTAGAGGTGGAGTTAACCCTGCATATAAAAAACTGCAATAATTACACATGCAGGGTTAAGAGTAGTGGGAGTTGGCACCAAGACCACTCCAATGGGCAGAAGTGGTCTGGGTGCCTGGAGTGTCCTTTAAGGAATTAAGTAAAAATATTTTCCATGGTTAGACCCTAGGTAGGTAATTTTTCCGGAAGTGATATAATATATATATTAATTTCCTAAAGGAAGTGATAGAATATATCCCATAGGCAGAGCAATAACTGCTTCAATAATCCTCTTAGCAGATTTACAATGTTTACTATTTTTTTTTTACTAATTTCTAAATAATTAGAAAAGTCCCTGTCCAAGTAATCTACTTTTGGGAGTTTATATTGTTACTCATCCTGACAGCTCTCTGAGCTTCTACTTATGGTGTGGCTTAATGCTATGGGATACTTTTAAAGTTGGCTCAGAGGACATATCAAGGTACTTTATCTGTGGACAATACTTCTCTAGATCTTGTCGTCTTAGGCCTTCTATATGTGGCTCCTTTATATTTTATATAGCAGAGAGTAAAAGGCAATATATATATACCCCCTTTGTTGATCCTGTTAGATGTTTTATGTCTTGGACTACAGGTCCTTTGCATACCTACCAAGTTTCCCTATTTAGTTTGGGCTCAAATTCCCATGTCCTGATGTTCCTCTGATTCTAGGAGCGCTATATAGCTGGTATGTCTGAGGGTATACCATGGCACCACAGGTATAACATCCCCAGTAATATGTCTTTAAACTACAACAATTGTTTAGAAATCAGTCTGTGTAATGAAGTTACATTGTTCTTGCTCAAAATTATAAATGTAAATAATTCATAAGTCACCTAAAATAGCCACACCCCTAAAATTAAGGTGTTCCTCTTTGTCTATTTGAAACATAGGGTGGTATGTTTTTGCTTAGGATTTCAAATGACCGCCCTGCCTTTAACGAAATGCAGTATGTCAACATCTGCGTTTCGTATGCTGATATTTTTGACTAATGTTACTATCTTAGCAGATAAGACAGGTTAAAAAGAGACTAGGAAATTGTCCTAGGTTCTAAGGTAATTCCTACATGACTATAATTTTAGACAAAGTCTGAATAGGTTTATCAGGATTTTACATCTATACTAAGCAATTTAAACTATACAAGGTGCATACTAAATTCAAATTGTTATCATAATGTCTCATTATATACTTTATGGTATAATATGTCTCCTTTTTATTTCAGGTGACTTGCATGTGGTTTTATTAAAATAGGTTGATATTAACCTATATCCTGTCCTATGCTATATATTTTACACCACTGTATCCAAAGATTGGTAGGTAGTTTGATGAGATTTCATTCCACAACAGTACTTTATATTTATAAGATAGCTGTTGCTAATATTTTGCTTATACCTATGTAAATATAGTTAGACTGAATTTTACTATTCAGCCCAGGCCTGTCCAGCCTGCGGCCCCCCAGATGTTGCTTAACTACAACTCCCATGATTCTTTCAATTAAACAGATAACCAGGGAATCATTGAAGTTGTAGTTCAGCAACATCTGGGGGGCCGCAGGTTGGACAGCCCTGATTTAGCCATAATATATTTTAGTTTTGCATCTTTATTTTGTAGAGTTTATCTGCTGATTACATAAGATCTTCATTTTAAGAAGTTGTATGTGAAGTCTGTTTCTAGATCTGACTTTCCAGTATCACAGAATCAATGTCCAGTGTAAGGTGTAAGGGACTTAATGCTCTTTTCAGGTGATCAATTTATGTTGGGAATATGTATATGTGTTTTGTTTTTTTCTATTATCTCTCCTACACGGATATACTAGCAGTGAACTATGTGGCAGTGACTGAACCCTCAGAAACATGGATATTATCCGTTAAAAGGAATGTATCAGTGTCTGGGACGTGTGCTCTCTTGTTTAGAGGTTATGTACTATTATCAAGTACAGATTATTTCCATTTACTCATTTTAATTATTTGGGTCTGGACTGAGGATTGGAGATTCCCTCATTCAACAGACCTCTACCTGGGCAATAGCGACATCTTGGGCATCTGTTACCATGGGAAAAAAGTGTGGGACTGCTACCTGGGCTTTAGATTCTACTTTCACACGGAATTACTGCCTAGACATTACTCAGGATAAAGGTTGTAAATTTGTGTCCTGTGTGCTATCCTCCATAATCCTCTTAATAACACTTCAGATGCTTGAGTCCTAAATAAAAGTGTACTCAAGCCACATTATACAAGACAATATTGTAGTGAGTATTTCAGACGTTGTGCATGCTAATACAAGTTGAATCTTTTTTAACCTTGATTACTATGAACATGTTGAATACGTAGAAGGAAAATGCCCAATCCAGTAATCCTTTGGTCTCATCCTCTTTACTCACATTCTTGTCTACATTGACCATAAAGCCCAAACTATTAAGTTTATTTTGGATAAATGTGGACCCATTGCATATGTGCCATAAATATATGAGCAACTTTGCTATTGAAAGTAATCAAGTTGGGTCAGAGACATCAAAGTGCACAGTTCTCCAGTTAATACCTATTGGAGAAAGAAGATTGACTTGATTTGCTGATATCACAAGGGGAAGGTTAGGGATGTCAATAAGCCAAAAAAAGACAGATATGTGAATATATACATACATTTCTATGAAATGCATTAGCTTTTGTAAGGGTGATTGAAGGTTTAATTACAGAGCTTCCCTTTTAAGGTTATGTTGCTTGTTTCATTCTATAGTCACAGTTATATTATTAATATTGTTGGGGGGTTTTCTGATGTATTGTGGTGATTTGACAATGGAATTTTTTTCTAAACTCACCTTCTGTATTTTAGCTTACATTTTGCAAATGTCTTCTTTTATTCACTAAAATTCAATGTTTAGATTGCATTTTCTTACAATCATTTTTCAGGTCAGGTGCATAAATTAAAAACGTAATCGGACAGTCACAACTTTTTTTTTTTTTTTTCAATAAACTACCGCTGGTCATGAAAATATAAACAGAAATCATAAGAATGATTACATGAATTACCTCAATGTTGTCGGATACAATTCTGTATTGATAAAATATACGATTTCAAATGCCATAGTGATGCCTAGCCTTCCCAATGTTGCTAATGTCGTTTTTAGCCATAGTATATCTGCAAACAATAAAATGTTTTGTGAGAAAACACAGTTGATACAAAAGTTTCAAAGACAAAGAATTTGTCACAGTTGGGCAGTTTTTTTTTTTTTCATTTTACAGAGAAGAAAACATTAAGATAGTGTTAACTTAATATGAGCTGAGGAACGTGTGCAAATAAAGCTTTACCATGGCAAAACATGATATACATTTTTTAAGTCATAAATATATAAAATGCACAATTTTTTACTGATTGTTATTTTGTGGTAATTTTAGTTTTAGGGAAACCAAAAACTCATGGTTAGTTCATTTCAGTTCTGGTAGGTTTTCAAATGTAAACTAAATATTGAGTTAAAGGAACACTATAGCGTTAGGAATACAAATATGTATTCCTAACGCTGTAGGGCCCTAGTCACCGTTTAGGTGACTATGGCCCCGTTCGGTGGCGAATAAATGGTTAATAAACCATTTATTTGCTTACCTTTATCCAGCACCGGGCTCCTTCGGCACTGGTGACCTCTCCTCCTCTATCGAAGTCAGCTCCCGAGTGGAGCCGAATGCGCATGCGCGGCCAGGTGGGCGCACACATTCAAACTCACCCATAGGAAAGCATTACTCAGTGCCTTTCTATGTTGATCTTTTTTTACACTGGACTCTGTGAGGACGTCCAGAGTCAAATAATTGCAATTTACTCTGTGTAAATTGCGGAAGCGGCCTCTAGTGGCTGTCAGGGAGACACTAGAGGCTGATTAACCCTGCAGTGTTTTCAGATTCAGGGTTAAAACTAGGGGGACCAGGCACACAGACCACTTAATTTAGCTGAAGTGGTTTGGGTGCCTATAGCTGTCCTTTAATATAATTTTCACTGCCTTAAGGACATACTTACCTAAAAATCACTTCCAAAATGACTACTAATACAACCAACTCTATTACACATATTGAATTTATTTTTATCTCTAACACATAGTTACATAGGCTGAAAAGAGGCACGTGACCATCAAGTTCAGCCTTCCTCACATTTTTTTTTATTTTTTTTAGCTGTTGATCCAAAAGAAGGCAAAAAAACCCCCCCAGTTTGAAGCACTTCCAATTTTGCAACAAACTAGGAAAAGAAATCCATCTTGACCCCAGAATAGCAGTCAGATTTATCCTTGAATCAAGAAGCTATTCCCCTACATTGAAAAATGATATCCTTGAATATTCTGTTTTTGCAAGTATGCATCTAGTAGCTGTTTAAACATCTGTACGGACTCTGATAAAACCACTTCTTCAGGCAGAGAATTCTATATCCTTATTGTTCTAACAGTAAAAAAAAGCTTTCCTTTGCCTTAGACTAAATCTTGTGTCCTATGTAAAGTCGTGTTTGTGAATAGATTTCCACACAATGGTTTGTATTGGCCCCAGATATATTTGTAATGTTATCATATCCCTTCTGAGGTGGCGTGTTTCTAAACTAAAGAGGTTTAAATTTGTTAACCTTTCTTCATAGCTAACATGTTCCACTTCCTTTTTATTAATTTTGTAGCCCACCTCTGCACTCTTTCTAGTGCCATAATATCCTTCCTTAGAACAGGTGCTCAAAATTGCACAGCATATTCAAAATGTGGTTTTACCAGCGATTTATAAAGAAGCAAAATTATATTCTCATCCCGAGAATAATGCCCATTTTCATGCATGACAATACCTTACTGGCCTAAGCCAGTAAGGTATTGACATTGCACATTGACTGATTGACATTGCACATTGTTGCATAGTTTGTTGTCTATAACAATTCCCAAGTCCTTCTAGTGTGTTGTTATCCCTTGATATAATCTTCATATGGTAACAAAGTTTAAAGCACCCTGCTTTAAATAGTGCATGTTTATAACACAGGGGATTACCTACTGGAGTAGAGCGCTTACTAAATTTCTGTATACGAACAGTTGTTTAGGACACAAGTGGATTATTTGGGAATAGGATGTCAGACAAAGATATACTTTACACTCATGATCCCACTTGACCAGTTACATATATTTAAGGTATAATAAACATTTATAACACACCATAATAATTTACTGATATACATACATTTCTGGATGATTATCTTGTATCCTTATTCCCCAGTTTTATTTTTGTTTATATAATATTGAAAAAACTATATGTGTCATTATTAATGTTCACTATATTGTTAAAAAAATAAAATTGAAATTCTTAAATAAAAATGATTTGAACAAAATGCCACTTCTGGCTACTGGATGTGTGCACATTCATCTGTGGTTACCATGTTTCTAGTTTTTCAAGGGTCCATTGTGGGTGTGCTAGAGTCTGGCACATTGATCTGCAAAGACCAAGCTTTTAAATTACAAGTGCTGCCTTTCACACCCTGTTAGTTACTACTTCCCTAGCTGGGTCCAATCAAATGCTTCTCAAAGAGAAGCAATTAATTGAACCTTTTCACCAGCTCAGAGGTAATGGGTGGATATAGGAGGGAGGGGCATTTAAAAAAACCAAACAAAGAATATGAGCATTAATGTTATAAGAATCAAATTAAAAAAAAAGGGGGGGGGGGGCGGTATGTAGGCTTCCCCTTGCAGGTGTGCTGTCTGCAAGAGAGAATCTCATTACATCTGCCAGAGTGCTGTGCATGCTGATGACAAATATCATTTTTTGCACAGGATTAATATTAGTAACTCTGTTCATGACTGCCTAAACTACATGTGCTGGGGGTGTAATTAGCAAAAGACACATATTTGCAAATAGCTCTGAATGTGCAGTTGTAAATGCAGAAGTCCTCATAGTAGTTTGAGTAACCCTTTAATGATCATTTAATTGAATATTTATTACCTTCTGATATAAGAGCGGTTATAAGACAAGCTATCCCAGCTCCAGCGTTGCTCAGTGCAAATGGAATTCGACGTCCAATCCGATCAATGGAAAGTAAAATGAGCACAGCTCCTGGTAACTCCACCACTGCAGAGATGAAGAAATCCATATATAGACTTCCAGATACAATTCCTAGGCGCATAACTAGACCCTGATAAATAACTGCACTTGTAAACCTATAAAACAAAATGTCAATTCAAAAACTTGTTTGTACACACACAGACATTTACTTGAAAATATATTAGGTGTTAGTAGAACTTCATAGACTCAACCTTTCCTCCTTCTAATAGTGTTAAAATGTTTACTAATGAGCTGTGTAAAAGTAGCTTACCAGATGCCAATTCAGTTAATTACACTTCACTTTTAAATATACCATGGGGGGGTTGCTATATAACAAGATTATTATTAAAAATGTTGCATCTCAGTAATTAAAGAGACATTCATCTAAAAAGCTTTAGTTTTGAATGAGACCGCTGCCTCATTCTGCAGGCTGAAAAAAACAGGGAAATATTTTTTTTCATATTTAACTAATTATTTTTTACCATTACCACACCCACTCTAGGGCAGGCACTGATCTAACCAATCAGTGTCCTATCCCTAAGTATGCTGGAAAAGTGATTTGGATATCTTGGTTGCTACTTCTAAATGCTGCTTCAAAGAGTGTGATTGGAGATATTCTGGAGAGTTTTAAAGAATCTTCAACTGCCTAAGATTTTGCTAAGAGCTTTCTTTTTTACTGTTACAGGTAAGATTCATCTATAAGAAAAGGTTACTGATTGCACAAGGTTTGATTTCCTGTTGGTAATAGGTAAAGCATTTGATTAGCTAGGTGTTTGCCGTTGATTGTTGGTTAATTAGCAATTGTTTGCAAATAAGCATAGGCCTACCCAAGTGTTAAACATTCCTGGTGGGTGGTGCTCTTAGGAGTTATATAGGGGTTGTGGTCATTAGCTTGGCTAATATAGCTTGGTTGCTACTTCAAAGTGTGTGATTGGAGATATTCTGGAGATAAACCGGAGGTTATCTGAGTTATACAGGAGGACAAAAAATATATTTTATATTTGTTTGATTTACATTATTCACCTCATTAAAATGACAGACATAGTTCAGTGTAATAGTTGTTATGCATTTGTTTCACGTTCCACTTTTTGGAGATTTGGATGCTGTCTAATCTGTAGACAGTTCTCTATATTGCGGCAGGAGATTGTATTTTTGAAGTCTGAGATTTGTAAATTATCTGGTAAACAAACTCAGGCTGGAACTGTTGCAAAGCCACTGCAGCAGAGACGTACTAGGAATGGAAGATGGATTACTGTAGGATCTGGTAGACTTAGAGTGGTGGATAAAAGGCATATTGCACCGTCTGCTGCTCTACATAATTCATTTTCAGCACTTTCAGAGTGTAATGGTGTTATGGAGACAGGCTCAGGCACGAAGTGTAGTGTTGTTATGAAGATTGGCTCAGGCACCAAGTGTAATGGTGTTATGGAGACAAGCTCAGGCACCGAGTGTAGTGGTATTGTGGAGACAGACTTGGAGACTATGGTGAGGCCTAATAGAAAGCAGTTGTTGTTGGGGGATTCTATCATAAGAGGTGTAGAGCTGGACAATAGTGGTCTTGTGAGATGTCTTCCCAGAGCTACTGCTCACCGAGACAGGCGACGTATTTGTAATTTTGTTACGCGAGCAAAGCAGAAAGGGGAATTGGATGTACTTGTCCATCTAGGGACAAATAACTTGGCTTGCAATAAGGTTTCAGAGGTAAAGGAAGTTTTTTGTGTTTTTGCCAATGATATACGGCAGATTGCTTCCACACTGTAATTCCTGTGCATAACACTCAGAACGCAGGTGGATGCGTATTAGGGACTTTAACTTGTGGCTTGGTGAATGGTGTCTGGAGCAAGGATTTGGCTTAATTTCTCATGGTAGCTCTGTTTGGAATGGAAATAAACTTTACAAAAAAGATGGTTTGCATCTTTCTCAAAAGGGAACAAATGTTCTCAGTGAGCAGTTCAGATATTTTGCTAGGATGTATTTAAACTAGGAGGAGGGGGCAAAGGGGTGATGAAACATCAATCCAATTGCCCCCAAAAACAAGGACCAGAAGGTGCCTGTAGCAAGTGTGTTAAAAAATGATAAGATTATTCTTAACTCCATACTGGGATTGTCTCTAAAACAAGTCATTGAGGAGCCAACTCATAAAGAGGCCATACTTAATTTAGTGTTAACAAATGGAGATTTGGCATCAGATATTACTGAAGGTGAAAGTTTAGGATCCAGTGATCATCCAGTGATCATGTATAAGCACAGTGACTGAGTCACATCACACAAAAACAAAAATTTTCGCCTTTAGAAAAACTGACTTTTCTAAAATTAGAATATGTGTAAAGGAGTCATTATCAGACCAGAGCAATTTAAATGGAGTCCAATAGAAATGGAATTATTAGAAGTTGCACTGCTGAAGGCAACAGAAAATTGCACTAGGCTTGTCAGTTAAAGCCAAAAATTCAAGAAACCACTGTGGTACTCCGCAGATGTGGCCAAAATAGTAAAAAACTAAAAGTTAACATTTAGTAATTATAAAAAATCCCAGAGTGAGGAAGATAGACAGATCTATAAGATTAGGCAGAAAGAGGCTAAGCAAGTTATAATAACTTCCAAATCACATACAGAAGAGAAAATTGCCCAGTCAGTAACAAAGGAGGACAAAACATTTTTTAGATACATAAATAAAAAAAGGAAAGTAAAACAAGGATTAGTTAGATTAAAAACAAAAGAAGGAAGGTATGTAGAAGAGGACAAAGGTCTAGCTGACTGCCTCAATGAATATTTTTGTTCAGTGTTTACATATGAAAATGAAGGAAAAGGGTCTCAGTTAGGAAAAATTACAAATGAGTCATTTGTTACATGTGAATTTACAGAGGAAGAGGTTCTATTTCAACTATCAAAAGTAAAGACAAATAGGTGTACTTGAAAAACCATTAACAGATTTATTTAACCAATCATTGTTAACAGGAGTAGTCCCAGAAGAATGGAAGTTAGCGAATGTTGTGCCCATTCACAAGAAAGGTAGTAGGGAGGAGTCGGGCAACTATAGGCCAGTAAGCCTTACTTCAGTAGTGGGGAAAGTGATGGAAAACATGTTAAAGGATAGGATTGATGAACATCTAAAGTCACATGGATTTCAATATCAGAGACAACATGGGTTTACTTCAGGGAGATCATGCCAAACTAATCTTATAGATTTTTTTTGATTGGATAACTAAAATAATAGATCATGGTGGCGCAGTAGACATTGCTTACCTAGATTTCAGTAAGGCTTTTGACACTATTGCACATAGAAGGCTTATCAATAAACTACAATCTTTAAGTTTGGATTCAAATATTGTTGAATGGGTAAGGCGGTGGCTGAGTGACAGGCAACAGAAGGTTGTAGTTAATGGAGTATATTCGACGCATGGCCTTGTCACCAGTGGGGTACCTCCAGGATCTGTACTTGGACCCATTCTCTTTAATATTTTTATTAGTGATATTGCAGAAGGTCTTGATGGTAAGGTATGTCTTTTTGCTGATGATACCAAGATATGTAACAGGGTTGAGGTTCCAGGAGGGATACGCCAAATGGCAAATGATTTAGGTAAACTAGAAAAATGGTCAGCGTTGTGGCAACTGACATTTATTATTATTATTATTATTATTATTATTATGTTATTTATATAGTGCCATCAAATTCCACAGCGCTTTACAATGGGTGGACAAACAGACATGTAGTTGTAACCAGACAAGTTGGACACACAGGAACAGAGGGGTTGAGGGCCCTGCTCAATGAGCTTACATGCTAGAGGGAGTGGGGTAAAATTACATAAAATGTAAGGATAGTATTAGACTAGTGACAGTTGCAGAAGAGGAAACATTTAATGCATCTTGGACGTAAAAACCCAAGGGCAGAGTACATAATATTTGGTAGAGTCCTAACCTCAACATCTGAGGAAAGGGATTTAGGGGTGATTATTTCTGATGACTTAAAGGTAGGCAGACAATGTAATAGAGCAGCAGGAAATGCTAGCAGAATGCTTGGTTGTATAGGGAGAGGTATTAGCAGTAGAAAGAGGGAAGTGCTCATGTCATTGCACAGAACACTGGTGAGACCTCACTTGGAGTATTGTAAGCAGTACTGGAGACCATATCTCCAGAAGGATATTGATACCTTAGAGCAGTGGTTCCCAAAGTGTGGGTCGCGACCCACTGGTGGGTCTCAGGGCGGTTCCCAGTGGGTCGCTTGGACCCACATATCCAGTGCCGCCAGGGAGTGAGGCAAGCAGACTGACACCAGAATGGGGCCCGGCGGCTTGCCTCCAGTCATTCTGCCCAGCAGCTCTGGTCTGCAGCTCCGCCGGGTGCAGAGCTGCAGACCGTGTGATAGAAGTCTTGCGAGCACCCAGAGCGTTACCATGGCAACACTTTGGGAGCTCGCAAGACTTTTATTACACGGTCTGCAGCTCTACACCCGGCGGAGCTCAGACCGGAGACCCACCGGACCACTAGGGAGACACTGGACCACCAGGGACACTGGACCACCAGGAAATTTATTACAGGTAGGACACAGACCCTGCCCCCCCATGTAACCCCTTCACTCCCTGCCCCCCGTAACCCCTTCACTCCCTACCCCCCACTGTAACCCCGATTCTCCCTGCCCCTCTCAATGTAACCCCTTTACTCCCTGCCCCCTCCCCCCCCACTGTAACCCAATAAGGAAGGAAGGTATGTAGAAGAGGATAAAGGTCTCCCTGCCCCTGTAATTCCTTCACCCATACCCCCACAGATCCCCTCCTCCTGCCCCCCTCAATGTAACCCCTTTACTCCCTGCCTTGTAAAATTCCCACTCCCTGCCCCCATAACCACTTCACCCCTGACCCCATGTAACTCCTTCCAACCCACCCCCACTGTAACCCCTACTCTTTCTGCCCCCCTACCGCTGCCCCCTCCCCCACTGTAACCCCTTCACCCCTGCCCCTCAATATAATCCCTTTACTCCCTGTCCCTTCCCCCCACTGTAACCCCTTGACTCCCTGCTCCCACTGTAACCCCTTCACTCCATGCCCTCCACATGTAACCCCTTCATTCCCTGCCCCCCTGTAACTCATTCACTCCCTGCCCCCCTGTAGCCCATTCACCCTGCCCCTGTAATCCCTTCACCCCTGCCCCCACTGTAACCCCTACTCTCCCTGCCCCACCTCAATGTAACCCCTTTACTCCCTGCCCCCTCCCCCACTGTAAGCCCTTCACTCCTGCCCCCACTGTAACCCCTTCACTCCCAGCACCCCCACTGTAACCCATACTCTCCCTGCCCTCCTCAATGTAACCCTTTACTCCCCTGCCCCTGTAACTCTCCTTCACCCCTGCCCCAGTAACCCCTTCTCCCCCCTGCCCCCACTGTAACCCCTTCTCTCCCTGCCCCCCTCTCCCACTGTAACCCCTTCACGCCCTGTCCCCCTCCCCACACTGTAACCCCTTCACTTCCTGCCCTCCTCCCCACAATGTAACCTCTTCACTCCCTGCCCCCCACTGTAACTCCTTCACTCCCTGAAAGAGATGGACAACAGTACTTCTGATTCTGAGTCTGTGAGTAAGCAGTTGTATGTCTCTAAAACTGATTGCCGTGATGTGCAAAGTTTCTGCCTCTAAAACTGCCATGATATCCCACAATTATGCCTCTAAAACTAAAACTGTTATGCCATTTTTATGCATCTAAAGCTGATTGCCAAGGTGTGCCAATTATATGCATCTAAAAGCTGATTGCCATGGAGTGACAATTTTATGCTTTTAAAACTGATTGCCATGGTGTGCCAATTTTATGCATCTGACTGTTTGCCATGGTGTGCCAATTGTATGCCTCTGAAGCTGATTGCCATGATATGCCAAGTTTATGCATCTAAAGCTAATTGCCATGGTGTGCCAAATTTATGTATTTAAAGCTGCCATGATGTTCCAATTTTATGCCTCTAAAACTGATTGCCATGATGTTCCGATTTTATGCCTCTAAAGCTGGTTGCCATGGTGTGCCAAGTGTAAGTCTCTAAAACCGATTGCCATGGTGTGACAATGTTATGCCTCTAAAGCTTGTTGCCATGGTGTGCCAATTGTAAGTCTCTAAAACTGACTGCCATGGTGTGCCAATTTTATGCACCTAAAGTTGCCATGATGTGCCAAGTTTATACATCTAAAACGGATTGCCATGATGTACCAGTTTTATGCATCTAAAGCTGACTGCCATGGTATGCCAATTGTATGCATCTAAAGCGGATTGCCATGGTGTGCCAATTGTATGCATCAAAAACTGATTGCCACGGTGTGCCAATTGTATGCATCTACAGCGGATTGCTATAGTGTGCCAATTTTATGCATCTAAAGCTGCCATAATGTTCCAAAAGTATGCCTGTAAACCTGATTGCCACGGTGTGCCAATTGTATGCCTCTAAAGCTGATTGTCATGGTATGCCAATTGTATGCATCTAAAGCGGATTTCCATGGTGTGCCAATTTTATGCCTCTAAAACTGATTACCACGGTGTGCCAATTGTATGCATCTAAAGCAGATTGCTATAGTGTGCCAAAAGCTGTTTGCCATGGTGTGCCAATTTTCATGCCTCTAAAAGTAAATGTCAAGGTGTGCCAATTGTGTGCATCTAAAGCGGATTGCTATGGTGTTCATGGTGTTTTAAAATTTGCATTTAAAGCAAGTGGGTCTCGAAAAATTACAGTTTTGAAAAGTGGGTCTCGGCCCATAAAAGCTTGGGAAGCCCTGCTTTAGAGAGAGTTCAGAGAAGGGCTACTAAACTGGTTCATGGACTGCAGGATAAAACTTACAAGGAAAGGTTAAAGGACCTTAACATGTATAGCTTGGAGGAAAGATGAGACAGGGGGGATATGATAGAAACATTTAAATACATAAAGGGAATCAACACAGTAAAGGAGGAGACTATATTTAAAAGTAGAAAAAAACTACAGCAACAAGAGGACATAGTCTTAAATTAGAGGGGCAAAGGTTTAAAAATAATATCAGGAAGTATTACTTTACCGAGAGGGTAGTGGATGCATGGAATAGTCTTCCAGCTGAAGTGGTAGAGATTAACACAGTGAATGAGTTTAAGCATAAGATAAGGCAAGGGACTAATAAAAGTATTTAGAAAATTGGGCATACTTGATGGGCCGAATGATTCTTATCTGCCGTCACATTCTATGTTTCTATGCCTGGGAGATAAGTGTAAAATCTCTTCAATTTGCAACATCCTGACAGCAGTGGCGTCGCTAGGGGGGGGCCAGAGGGGGCCATGCCCCCCCCTACATCACGCCGTGCCTCCCCTTGGGCCCCCCCAAATGCCGGCAACCTGCTGGCCACGTGCTTAAATGATATTCCCTCGGACTGTAACAGCCTGAGGGAATGCAGGACAGAGGTGCTGGGGGCTGTCTGTGGCTGGAGCACTGACAGGCTCCCTGGCACAGGCCCCGCCCCCAAACGAAGCTCCGCCTCCTGAAGATAAGCCCCACCCCCGCCATAAAGCAGCAGACTATGCTGCTGCAGAAGATGGCTGCCTGACCCCCAGCAACAGCCTCCAGTGATAGGTAGGCTTAGAGAGTGTGTGTGTGTGTGTGTGTATGTATGTGTGTGTATGGACTCACACACTCTACACACACACACTGCCCCCCATACACACACACACTGCCCCCCATACACACACACACTGCCCCCATACACACACACATTGCCCCATACACATACACTGTCCCCCATACAGCCCCCCATACACACACACTGCCCCCCATACACACACACACACACACTGCCCCTATACTGCCCCACACCCACACACTGCCCCCTATACACACACACACTGCCCCCCTTACACACACACTGCCCCCATACACACACACACTGCTCCCCCATACACACATACTGCTCCCCCATACACATACAATCTACACACATACACTATACCCATACACACACTGCTCCCCATACACACACACTGCCCATACACTGCCACCCCATACACACACATTGCCCACACTCACACACACACTGCAACTGTTACACACACACACATACTGTCCCACACATACACTGCATCCCTGACATACACTGCTGCCCTCACTCACACACACACACACACCACTCACACACACCACTGCTCCTATGCCCTACTACAGCCCCATTTCCCAGCAGACCTCACTGCCCCCCATACTGCCCCCCATACACACACACTGCCCCCATACACACACATTGCCCCCATACACACACACTGCCCCATGCACACACACTGCCCCCCATACTGCCCCCCTGCTTATACAGTACACATTGCCTCCCCATACACACATACTGCCCCCCATACACACATCACCCCCTACACACATACACTATCTCCATACACACACACTGCTCCCCATACACACACACTGCCCCCATATACACATACTGCCCCCCATACACACATACTGCTCCCCATACACACATACTGCCCACCATACACACACACTGCCCACCATACACACACAATCTACACACATACACTATCCCCATACACACACACTGCTCCCCATACACACACACTGCCGCCACCCCATACACACACATTGCCCACACTCACACATACACTGCAATACTCACACACACACTGCAACTGTTACACACACATACTGTCCCACACATACACTGCATCCCTGACATACACTGCCGCCCTCACTCACACACTACAACCTTCAAACACACACACTGCTCACACACTGTCCCACTCACACACACTGCACCCCTTACACATTGCACCACTCACACACACCACTGCTCCTATGCCCTACTACAGCCCCATTTCCCAGCAGACCTCAGGTAAATTGTCAAACTTTCTTAAACGGTTTGACTTCTTACTCTGGGATGGGGTCCCGGCACTATTGACACCATAACCACTACACTGAGCTGTAGTGGTTATTGTGTCTGGATTATTTCTTTAAATAATCTACAAGTGCCCCTCCCGAGATCAGGCTCTGTATCCGCTGCTCAACAGTCTGTGTGTGTGTGTATGGACTCAGCAGTCTGTGTGTGTGAATGAACTCAGAAGTCTGTGTGTGTGTGTGTGTGTGTATGGACTAAGCAGTCTGTGTGTGTGTGTGTATGGACTCAGCAGTCTGTGTGTGTATGTGTATGGACTCAGCAGTCTGTGTGCGTGTGTATGGACTCAGCAGCCTGTGTGTGTGTATGGACTCAGCAGCCTGTGTGTGTGTATGGACTCAGCAGTCTGTGTGTGTGTGTGTATGGACTCAGCAGTGTGTGTGTGTGTGTGTATGGACTCAGCAGAGTCTGTGTGTGTACGGACTCAGCAGAGTCTGTGTGTGTGTACGGACTCAGCAGAGTCTGTGTGTGTGTACGGACTCAGCAGAGTCTGTGTGTGTGTACGGACTCAGCAGAGTCTGTGTATGTGTACGGTCTCAGCAGAGTCTGTGTGTGTGTATGGACTCAGCAGTCTGTGAGTGTGTACGGACTCAGCAGTCTGTGTGTGTACGGACTCAGCAGAGTCTGTGTGTGTGTATGGAC